ACATCTTTAGGAAAACAGGCACTTTATACATGTGTAACCATAAAAATGGTTTTCATGGCACCAATCAACCATTTTGCAAATCATGGCATGGGTGGGTCATTGACAAGTACGCAACACCTGTCAATAGCAGGTATGGGATCCACAAGATGCAGTGACATACTGAAAACTTGGATCCATGCTTACAATAGGCTTAGATATTTAAACCAAATTTGACCCCATCATCATAGTTTCCTGTTGAATCAATGATTTGATCATCAGCAAAGTGTGAATAGTATATTACGAAAAAGCCAACCATAACAAGTGTTTCAGGGTTTACCTGTATATTTGATGCAGGTGGTGTTGACAGAATGCAATACAATTTCCCAGTTGCATCCATTGTGACACCTTATTGAGTCTGTCATTATAATCTTATATATTATAACACATGCTATGGTCATTTGGTTATTTTTTATTTATTCTTATTTCGTAATTTATTTTAAATCTCTCAAACAATTTTATCATTCAGGCTGACAAAATAACTTACAAAAATGGTTTTTGATGCATGTCACCACTTTTACTTTTAGCATGTCCATGTGTTTTTCAAATGGACACTTGTGTTGTCTTCATATGTTTGTGACATCAATAGGGTAACATGATACCCAGTCTTGACTATCATCACAAATCTCATGATATAGTCATGTTCATGACATAGTCTGAAATGTACGACTGACTCTGAGAACTGAAAGGGTTTTGGAGCTTTTATTTATATATCCACAATAATATTATCTTCTGAAATAGACCCTGTCCAAATGGACCTATATGCCACCTATAGGAAATATGTCTACCTGTGATTATTCTGGTGTCCCCTGCTGTGATATTGCAGGAATATTGCTAAAAGCGGCATAAAACCACACTCACTCTCTCTCTACCTGTGATTAACGATAAAGTTTGATTCATTTGAAAATGAGGACCTCACCTGTCACCTCCTTTAAAACAGACGAGGTCATGATGACCCCAAGATTTGGAAGGCTGGGACAAATCCTGGTATATTCCTGAAGCTTACCCTTTATTCAGATTGTTTATGTCCCACATTTTCTCTGCTTATCAGAGCACATCAGGTGATTTGTGAAACCCAGGGTCTGTGTGTGCTCTTTCTACAGTAAATGATAAACCAGCCTGAACCATGTCATGTTAAGACTCCACTATAGCATTCCAGTGAATTCTTCCCAGTTTGTGTTAAACAACTTAAGCATATGTATAAATGATGTTTCAATAATAGCAATGGACCATCATCCCTGTCACTGTTTGCATAGGCAACCCAAGATGTACCATTAGTAGCTAGACTCATAAACCTCAGAGCCTCCCAAGACAAGATGCAGCACAAATCTGTTTTGTTCTGCAGTAACAGAGAATGAGTGTACAGGGCATACATGTCTTTCTGCCTCAGTGAGGGCTAAGTTTATTAACATAAGGAAGTACTATCCAATGTAACTGGGAAGGACTGTCTGGAACTACTGGGGCAGGCTGTATTGTTTTACTATGAGGGCAGTGGGTGAGGATAAATTGTCAGTTCCTGTCTGGGAGGAAATAGTCAAAACAATATGAGAGAGAGCCTGAAACACATGAGTAATTGATCCCAGTTTGTACTTAGATCTATGCATGACAATTTCAGAGTAAGAAAAAGTACATATTCCAAACACTCTGACAAGATATCGCTTCAGCTTTCCAAACTTCAACATTCAGTTTTTGTTGGGCATTATACTTGCTCATCCATTTACATTGCATTTCACATCTTTAAGGTACAATCAAAGATTCTCTTTTTATGAAGGGCATGTTTTGTTGAACACCTGGTTGCACCAATGTTTGGTGATGATTTTATCAGCACATTCTTATTGTATAGTGAGTTTTGTGATTATGGAAAGGTTCTTTTAACACATGTAACATCACATTGTTTAGAATGTCTTCAATTATTCCTCGTGTTAGTAAAGGAGCAATGGCCATAGAAGCATATGATTGTAAGAACAGTGTTTGTTTTTAATTTTGAAGCACATATTTAACAGGAAAGTGACATCACTGATGGTCATTGCATACGTAAGCACTTAACAGTACCCTTGTCTTGTGACTGTCTTTCCTGATGTTTGTATTTTACAAAAAATAGTAATTTTTATCCCCCACCACGCGTTTAGTGCGAAGCGGGGGATATAGTATTAGGCTCCGTCCGTCCGTCCATCACGAATTGGAATATCTTAAGAACTGTTGACTAGATTCTCTTCATATTTGGTACCTAGGTTCATCACAGTATAAGAAAGGTCCCAGTCAGGTTTGGAGACCTTGACCTTAATTTCAAGGTCACAAGGGGACTTTAACGTTTTACCCTTGTAAGCAGGATATCTCAAGAACCGTTCCCTAGACTTCTTCATATTCAACACCATGCTTTATCTAGGGAAGGCGCAGGGCCCAGTTGATTTTGGTGACCTTCACTTAATTTTCAAGGTCATGGCGACACTTTGAAGATTTCAGCATAATAACCTGCATGTTATGCTTCTCAGCAAGATACCTCAAGAACCATTCACTGGATTTTCTTCATATTTGACACCAAGCTTCATCTAATGAAGCCGCAGGACCCAGTCAAGTATGGTGACCTTCACATAATTTTCAAGGTCACTTTAACACTTCGAAGATTTCAGCATGTTAACCTGAATTCACTGGATTTTCTTCATAGACTTTCAAGACTACCCTTGAATATTTTTCAATAAGCAATTTCTTTAGTACCACTTTTGCATATTTCATACACTATGACATTCATGTCAAGGTCAAAGTTAGTCTTGAAAATATTTGTGTGTTTGAACAACTGCAGAGCAAGATATCAAAAGAGGTTGACTGGTCATGTTTTTGTTGACATTTAATTTCATCTTAAACTTTCATTACTTTTTAAGTTTGATTTGATAATTTGAGGCAGGGGATTATGTCACCTTAGTGACAATGCTTGTTGTAGCATTATGCCTAGTAAAATTCCAGTGTTATGTTAAAACTAGTCATTTCATTGTGAAGACACCAAAAGTGGGCTTTGCATGCTTTATGCATGGTTCAAATCAAACATGGGTTCTTGGCATGAAAAACTTTGCTTTTACTGCCACCAGAATAGTCCATAAAGTAAAGCGGTATTTGAATTAAAACAAATTTGTTTGATGCTGTTTCATGTCATTTGATGAGAATAGCTATATTAATATTGATAATGCCTTTGCCTTTGGGTGAAGGAGTATTTTAAGATGTTACCTCCAGTCAGCTTTGGTTCCTATTTCGGTCTTATACTTGAGACCTTCCAGTAATGGCGGAGCATGTTCTGGTAGCAATTTGTTTCTTTTTATAGGCTAAGTGGAGTTCCACCCACACAACTGCACCATAAACATTCCATTGTTGCAAACTCTTAGAAGATCACATTATGTCACTGTTATTATCTATTGCTGTGGCATACAGTCTTAATAACATAGATTCAGTAACATGTACTTGGATGATATCACTGTTATTGCCTATTGCTGTGGCATACAGTCCATTATCACATAGATTCCATCACATGTACTTGGAAGATATTTCATACTTGATTCATTATGTGTAAACATCAAACACTTCTGTTCTGATTTATTAGAAAGATACAGGTGTGTAGTTACTTGGGTGCTCTTTGATGGAGTGGTATACCTAGTACAGTACTGATTAGGGAAAGGCCTGGGAAAGTATAGGTGCGGTACAAACTCTCACCGCCCACTCTCACAACACATTAGTGGCACTACCATTATAGTACTCCCAGAGAAACTGTAGGGTAGCTTCATGGTTAAAGCACTGGCTTGTCATGCTGAAGGCCTGGGTTTGATTCCTAACATGGGTATAATGTGTGTATCCATTCCTGCCGTCCCCAGCTTTATGCAGTTGAAATAAGTGGCTTAAAGTTAAACTCACTCACTCATGTTCTATGACAGGCTTCCTATCATCACAAGGATTGTAATGCTGCAGTATCTTTTTGTAGGATGGATTTTTATATGTCACATCAGTTTGGGTTTTGTAGCACTGTGTTTTATTATGTGGTTGTTGTTTCTGTATCTGAGAGAAATATAGCTGAAGTTTAGAATGACTCAAAGCCAAATGTCTTATGGTTTTGAAATGAAAAACCTTTCATAGATGAATGTTCTCAAATGCTGTGACCACAGGGCCTTCAGATTGTCTTTATTGAGAGGGTATCAATAGAAGGATGTCTCTGATTGAAAATGATTGACAACGTGTTCATGACAGAATACACATTTTCAATAAGAAAAACACAACTTTCAATTGTCCTCTTTGAATAGATTATATACCAAAAAATAGGAGCTTTTTTCTTACAGTTGGTTAGAATTGTAAGAGAATTCAATATAATACTTAAGAGAATAATAAGCGGATTAAAGAAAACAATGTGATCCTTTTCCATTTTTTAATGATTTTACAATCATATCAAATATATTGAAAGTTGATTCTATTTTGACAATTTTGGGTGAATGATATACTGTTTAAGTTAATACAATTTGATTGTCTTCATGAGCTGGTATTACACATTTTAAACTTGAACTGGAGCAAGTAAGTGAGTGTGAATGAGTGAGTGAGTTTGGTTTGATGCTGCTTAGGACAGTAGTAGAGTGAACCTGAATTTATACTCACAATCCCAGGCTCTGGCACTCCTGTGGAACAGTTTGTTGAACACACCATGACAACTTTGACCACTGAGCTGACAATCATTCCATTTATGTACACAAATTGTTCATCTACTTCTTCAACTTTTCGGGCAGTGGGGTAGCCTAGTGGTTAAAGAATTCGCTCATCACGCTGAAGACCCCGGGTTCAATTCTTCAATTCCCCACATGGGTACAATATGTGAAGCCCATTTGTGGTGTCCCCTGCCGTGATATTGCTGGAATATTGCTAAAAGCGGCGTAAAACTAAACTCACTCTTTCACTCTTCAACTTCTCACGTTGGATTATGCTTGCTGTATTTCCAGAACAACTCTGTGTGGCAGCCCGACTCCTGCACAGTGTGTACCTGCCAGGATCCTGTGGCTGTGTGCGAGGGAATCAAGTGTATGGACCCCAAGTGTGATAGCCGCAGGGTAGGGATCACTCAGTACCATCCAATACACAACAGAGAGTGTGGGTTCTAATCCCGAATGAGTCTCAACACCCAAAATACCTGTACTTAACCTGTACTAGACTCTTTATTTTTCTGACAAAGTGTTTCACAAATATCACATACTTTACATTTCACCCTTTCAAATGACATTGTGTTTCCCTACCACAGTGCTCGACAACCATGGGACTGTCCCACAATAAAGTTATGAATAAAATTAGTAAAGCTCATAGAATAAGAAACCCCTGATGAGAACTGAATATATAGGGTCAGTCTGTAACTAGCTGACTAACATACTAACATAGTATATGGTGCTGCAGCACACCAAATAAGGCAGGATTTGGTTGGTTGGTTTGTTGTTAACACCGCACTCAGCACTATTCCAGCTATATGGCGGCAGTCTGTAAATAATCGAGTCTGGATCAGACAATCCAGTGATCAACAGCATGAGCATCGATCTACGCAATTGGGATACGTTCAACCAAGTCAGCAAGCCTGACCACCCGATCCTGTTTGTCGCCTCTTATGACAAGCATGGCTTGCTGAAGACCAATTCTAACCCAGATCTTCAGGGGTAGTATGGAAGGTAGCACACCCTGGCAAAAGTGTTTATCTACCACTGAGGATTGCATCAATCTTCCATTAGTTATCAGATTTTCCTCCACATTTACACTGACTTGTCATATCTTCAGATCCTACCATTAACACACTGGTCTCACCATGATACTCTTTGATAAGAGACCTGTCCGTTCTCCTTTTGTTCATTTGGGGTTACTAAGTAAAGAAAATTTGGCACATATCCATTTGTTTGGGCATAACTTTAACAAAATCATTTCTGCTGAATAAGTGAATATAACAGTGAGTTATCATATACGGGGGAGGAAGTGTCACCTTAGCACATAGAACAATTCCCACAGTTCCCCACAGGACAGAGAGTCATGACAATACCATCTAAAATGTATTCATACAGCATGTCCTTTTAACACCTAACTGCCAGGCCTACAATGCCGGAATCCTACACCTATATTTACTGCCTATCCAAACACACCGACCCCTGTCATTCTCAGACAGTGGTGTCTATATGTCTGTGATACCTTTCTTGTTTGCTAGACTGACTATTGTGCAAATGTGAATGGTCAGTATCTACCTTATGCTTACATTTCCCATAATACGGGTTTATCATATAATAGTCTACTGTCGGTGTGGGTACACTTCAATGGTACTCTTGGCTTTTGGTAGAAAGTGTTGTACCACAGACCAATAATATTATGAAGTTGCAGATTCGGCATAAATGTCCAACTGGGATTTGTGAAATGCTGTTCACAGTCGCATATGTTCAGAATTTGTCATCACAAAAATATTTTGATGGGACATATAAAAGAATATATGTAGAAAATTTAAATCATGGAAATCCCTTTGCTTCTCCTAGACTACTTAGTTGTGGGATTGAATAGAAATCCAATCACCGAATCATTTGAAATAATGCTGAAATGAATGTGAAATATCTGCATTCAGTTTACCTACTGGTCTCAAAACCAATTTAGGTAATAAAACAAGAGAAGTCAAGCTACATATGAAATAGGTTTTAGAAATTTAATAAAGATTACAGAAATTTTTATGTAGAATAAAAGATTTCATAACTTATATAAATGATTTCAAGGGTAACTTATATACATGTTATTGTAATCCAGGCTATTAGACTTTTGGCACTAATAGAATATTTGGTGTTGCAGGGTGAACAGCTTCAGTTTCCAGCAGGTGCTTGTTGTCCTGTGTGTGTGGGACGGATGGCACCATGTCAGATGAATGGACAGTCAGTTCCGGTGAGTACATGAGGCTCATAGCCCATGCTGATTTATAGAGTAAAGAAATGATTTGTTTTAATTCTGATTTCATGATTCTTGAGATATGGATGTTGCAACAGATATAGCTTAATCACATCCACGGGAACGATAATCACAGCAATAATATTATCTCCCTTTGCTACAAGAAATCAAGATATACAGATAGTATGTTTTTCATTTAAATCATTATGCAGTCAACCCATCAAATTTGCCATCATTTCTGGATGATATATACTTTTGAGCTATTTTAATGTTGAAACCTGTATGGCAAATAACCCATTTCTTTTTCAAATTTTGCTTGTTTCTTACTCTTCCATGGGCACATTTAACTCTGAGTTATAAAGAATCATCCTGTGAATGGTTGTGAAATGTTTTTGAACTTTCTGATAACATTTCACTCCTAATTAAGTGTCAAGTACCCTTGTCATTTCAAAGATGATCCAAATGTTAGCAGTCACAAGTGGTCCTGAGAATTAAATATTACATAACACTATCCAGGAACCCCATGTTTCTGCCACTGCTCATGTTAAGTCCTGTTTGTGCAGCACAACACTGACTGGTCCCAGTCCCAGTGTGAGACCTGCTACTGCAGTGATGGGGACGTCACCTGCTCCAACAAGACATGCCCTCTGACACGATGTCGCCCTGGAGAAGTCAGCCAAAAACTGCCAGGACAGTGCTGCCCCAAGTGTATACCTGCTGGACGTAAGTAACATTCCTCAGTATAATCTAGAAGATATAGGAAAGAACACCTGGTCAGATGCTGTATCAGAGTCATGTCATGAAGTGATTGATGATGGATGGAAAGAATTTCACCCAAGTTTTGTTTGATATCAAAGTTGATAAAAGTTTGATTTATTTGATCTCAGAAGGCACAAGGTGAGATAATATTTATCTTTAAAACATCCTTTATTCTTCTCAGTTCGTAAACAGTGTCTTCAGAAGAAACGTACAACTAACCAGCATAAGTGGCAGAGAGAATAGCCATGTCATTTCATTGTGATGTCATTGTAACCGATGATGTCACAATGGTCTCACTGTTCTGTAAAGCAAATTCAATTCAGTGATACCTCCTGTGAGAGTGAGTTTGTTATTTATAAGCACATCTTCATACCCACTAATATTTGACATACACTGCTGAGAGCCTGAGAAAAATGCTGTGTGCGTGTCATTCTCTATCAATGAATGTCCTTCATATGTACAGTACAAAACAATATGGTGACATCACAATAACTTCTGTCAAGATGTTTCATATAATGCCACTGAAAACTTTCTATGAATCTACTGGTGATGTTAGTTATCTTGCTCATATGTTACTCATGTTCCATTACAAAGGCTTTATATATGTCAAATATCAGCAGTGGGATGTATCTGATAAACTAGTCACTGAGTCATGGGATTAGTAAAAGATGATTTCTCTTTCATTCAATGTTAAGATACGCATCCAAATATGATAAAAATAAAGTAGCTAATTTCATCAAACTTAACAGCCTTTTCACACAAAATAATTGTGTATGAATACATTAGAATGTTAATAGCCTACTTGGTGATGCATAGAGCAATGTCTCAGAACTTCAGAAGAGGGATCTAAGCAACCGTAAGACTACCTCAAGTATATTTCATTTCCAAATGTGTAAAGGAAAGTGTCACACAGTGTTTTGTTATAGTGCTGCACTGTAAGCCTTATTATTTGTGGTGAGGTAAGGTGAGGTGAGGTGAAATTGGGTTTAACGTCGTGCTTGAGAATATTTCGCTCATATGACGACGTGCATGCATGTATATGTGTATGTGCGGCTGCTTGTACTAACCCAGACTTAAGCTGGTTTTGATAGTGCTAGCCCACTGAGATACCATGCCGCAGTGAAGCATGAATACCCCACTCAGACACAGTATACTGACTCTGAGCCGACCAGTCCTTGTTGTACCCATTAATGCCGAGCGCCAGGCAGGGACCAACAAGTACCATATTTTAACGTCTTTTGGTATGACGCGGTCGGGGATCGAACCCGCGACCTTCCGCTCTCAGGGCGGACGCTCTAACCACTACACCACGGAGGCGGTCTATTATTTGTGGTGGTATACAAACACATAACATATGTTGTATGGATTACAAGGCACTGGATTTGTCTTGTCACCTGGGGAATGTTAAACACAATGTCTGCAAGTCAGTGGCATTCTGTACTGGGAAGAGATTGGGTGTTGTATGTTACTGTGATTACACAATACTGATTCTTGTTGGTCCAAGGAATCCCTCCACAAATGTCTTCAAGATGGTTTCCCAGAACAAAACAGTTTCAGGATGATGTATAGCAACTGTTTCTCTGCTTGAAAAGGTCATAACAGTGGCTTGGTCTTACATTACCTTGTAAATTGTATTTGTCCTTGCCAATTAACTAAGAACCAGGTATTTGAGTTTTGCAAGGATATTCCCTGAATATTTGGATGCAATCATTCAGCTAATTAGGGCTCCTTTGCCTTTAGGCAGGAGACCTATTGTAATCGTTCGTGTTTTTATTATTATTATTATTATTATTATTATTATTATTATTATTATTTATTCTTCCGCCGTATTTTGTAACAGAGCTACAGAGAGCACCGCTGGACAGAATGCCTTGACAAAAATCACCCAGATGCCCACCGAGGTGTAGATATCGCGCTTTAAAATCTCTAGGCTGTAGGCCCAATAGCAAAGGGCAGATAATTCAAAATTAATTCAAAAATTTCAATTTCAAATGCAAATATCTCCGTAACTAATGCTCCAATGTGTGCCAAAGTTCTTGAGCAGATGCTAATCAAAATGCCTACAATTTCGCCTGACGAGGCTCAAGTCGCTGTAAAATGCACCGTTTGGCGCTATGTTGAATTGAAGTTTTTGGTGATGTTTTTCAGCAGAATGCTGACTGCATACCTCCCAAAATGTGCTGCACTAAAACTACAAGGGCTACGGGTTTCAAACGTTGCATACTTTGTGTCTATGCATGTTTCTACACAGTAGCATCGTCAAATGTGCCTATGTTTATATGATGGCTGCCATATTGGGCGCTACTTTTGGGCAAAGTTGTCTTCAAAACTTTCACGGGCTACTTTGCTATTTTGTGCCAAACGAAACTTACCACATACAACACTTTAAACAGCTTGTTCTGAAGTTGCCTTTGGTTGTTGAACATTTTCTGTTCTTGGTCCTATGTCAAAGACCCTGCAAGCTTCACGGCTTTCAAACTTTGAAGAGCGCCATAAAGTTACTGATCAAAACATCTGTTCAACATTATCCATGTGGATAAAGCGTGATGGGAGCTAAAATGGAAAAAACTGTTTGAGACGTGCCCGAATGAAAGAAAAAGAGTGCCAAACAACCTGACCCTCAACACCAGGCAGAACACGCCAAACATCACGCAAAAAGTATTCCAACAATGTACCAGTCATGATAAATAATGCCTACATTCAAAACCCCAAATTTTGGGCAGATTTAACGAAACAGGACTTCTTTATATCACCGACGGCCCAGGGATACATTGCCGAATGTATCATAAGTTTCATCGACATTTACAGCACGGCAGATTACCCGTGCAAAACATCACGACAGTCTGAAGGAAAGCGCCAAGGACGATATCTCCTATAAAGAGATTACCACTGCAAAGCGTGGTCCACGGCATATATGGGAGGCGATGTCAATTTCAATTGACAATGGCGAGCTGTCCAGCGTGGTAAGGTTAAACACAAGCTAAACGATACTGAAGTAACAAATAGTATGTCTAAGTGTATTTTCAAAGACAACAGAGGGACAAGTGAAATTCTGTTTTCCTCACTGTATAGTTGCTATCTTTATTGGTTCTCTAGAGAGCACAATAAAAATTTGCAGTATGTATCTCAAACGTTTGCTGATCATTTTCTGTTCATGATGAGAGCATAAACATGTGATTCTTTTTCCGTCGAATGGCACAGGTGTTATGTGCCAAAAACCCAGAGCGTTACACAAAATTAAAATACAGTGCAGTAGAGGTGTTATATCTTCATTGAAATTCAGTCTTTTGTAAGGGGTATGTCTTTAGGCAGCTTTTAAAGATTGTCAATGAATGGCGTTCGGTCATGGTAAAAGTTGTAGCTGTGGTCTCTGGTCTAGCTGAAGGAAGCTAGTAAAATCGTTCAACACTGCATACTTTCGCCGGGCTTTGCAATTCGAAGAGTAATGCGCTTTGCCAATCAGTTCTGTCTTGTGGAGCTTGCATGGATGTAAAACTTCATATGTGACCTTTATCGAGCTGTCAGGTGTATTTCCAGTATATATACCTGCTCTCGATTCACTATTCATTTGCAACAGCCCGAGTGTAACAGTGTAATGGATACTAATACAAACTACTGAAGTACCTTTATTGCTGTGAAATTACAAGTTCACTTGCATCAGCGTGAGAGTGAGTGAGTGAGTTTAGTTTTACGCGGAGTCAGCAATATTCAAGCTATATGGCAGTACTTTACATCACCGGCTGCCCAGGGATACATTGCCGAATGTTTCAAAGAGTTTCTCACATTATTTACGACACACTGCACATTACCCGTGCAAAACATGCACGACAGTCTGAAGAAAAGCGCCGGGACGATTATAGCCGCTCCTTCAAAACGCTGTTTGTAATCGATTCCACACAAACGCAGACAAGTTGTGCAGGTTTATTCACCGTGTCAGCATGGATAGCACTTGAAAAGTAATAGGTAAGTATGCAGTCATAACATCTACATCTATATCTACATATCAACATGTGCATGGGATACCTTGGCGACTGTTTGTCGGCTTAATTTCCCCCTCATGATATGTCCTATAAAGAGACTACCACTGCAAAGCGTGGTTCACGTGCAGATATGGGAGACGAGAGAAGTGTGTATGGTTGCGAAAGGTATGTAAGTGTGCAAATGCCGCCTCCTATCGATCTGCCCTTTCCAAGTTTAGATCCGGTTCTGCACCTCTAAAGTTGGAAACAGGCAGATATTCAAATATGCATGTAAATGAAAGAGTGTGTTTTCAATGTAGTGATAAGATTTAAGTCGAACGCATGTACTGTTGGCATGTCCGCTGTAACGATGATCTACGTGGAAAGTTTATATTGCCATATGTGGTTCAGCTATGCCAACTTCCTAGATTTATGTTATAATGAAGAAATGATTTTACTATTTAGAGAACATGTTTATTTTACAGCCAAAACCTGCGTTCTTCAAAGAAGAAAACTTATTTTATGCTGGCTAAATCCATAGTGTACCTTTTATCATATATGCCACTTCTATGTAATAGTCTCTCATAACCCCTTAATTGTGGCTCATTTTATGTATATGTCTGTATATATCTGTACTTTTACATGAGGTGAGACTTAAGTAAAATATTTGTCTGTCTTCTCAGGACGTGGACAGACGGTTTTCCTTTGAAGTCGTCTGTTTTAAGTAAGGGATTAACTGGTCGGGAAGTGTTAAAATCCTAACTGTTACCGAATTGTGAAGGTTTCGCGAGTCTGTTCACTCTGGTAGTTCACTCTGGTAAGCGTGGTTAGCATGTGACTATGATAGGTGAGTGAGTTCACTCAGAAATAAACTTTGCAGTGTTGACTGATTTCATAAAATGTGTTCACTCGATAAGTGTACACGCTAGGTGAGTAATAATCACTGTCAGGAAATTGTTGCTACAGTTAGATTACAAATTACTTCTGACATTTCGAAGGAAGATA